CCCCCAAAAAAACCAGCCAGTAGCACTGAGGAGCCTCTGTAATACAGGGAACCAAGTGATTGGATATGTACAACACAGAATGTCAGTCATTACTCACAGCTGAGACAGAAAGTAGAGCGGCCTGGCCTAATAGAACCAGGAAACACAACACTTGGAAGCCTATGGTGGGTCACTGCCTGGGTTGTGCAAGGAGACAACTGAGAAAATGTCTCCTATTTCTTAAAAAAAGAACCTCTTTGTCGAATGGTGAAACTCTGAAGGTCTCCCATGATTGGTGTCATAGTCCCTATTGATGTATTGATTTTGTTTTCCCTGACAACATGTTTTGGAAAATTAGTATATTGGTTTAGCTTTTGCTATCTCTGTCACTTGTTTTTTTTGTGATATAGGCAGATGTGGGAGCCAGACCAAGCTCTGGCTGCCATCACTGACACACGACAGGGATGGAGTAATTCAGAAACGCTCCTACACAGTATACCACCAGGGGAAGCTTTGTGTATTCCCCATGACCCAGGGTCAAATGCTCTACCAACTCTTAATGTGGCTACTTCAATATACAAATACCAACATTTTTATGGTTACTAGCTTCAGTTTAGCTGTGATTCAAATGTCTGCTAGATGGGCAATGTGGAAATAGTTTTCTATGTTGTTCTACCGTATTGTAAAGTTGTATAGTTTCTGCCCTATATCAGAAGCCACATGACTTTGTGGTAGGAAAAGAGAATTGAGCAGGGAAGCCCAAATATTAGAACATTGATTTCATTTAGTCATCTAGAATTGTGCTAAGATATAAACCTCATCTCAAAATTTATGAGACTATTATATGAACTCTGTATCTCACAATTTATAAGTTTATTGTTTAAATTTAAAATACATAAAGTCTGTAAAAAAGCTGACTTAAAACTTATAACACATGGTTTTACTTAGAAAATGACATAGGTACATTTTATATAAAGACCGAAGATTTCAGTGTATATATGTCTTGGCAGGTCTGAAATATTGCCTTTCCCTGAATGCGATACTCTAATTGTATAAGATTATATAATTTCTTTAACTTCTGTCCTATATCTTTGTCTGTCTTGGCAGAATTCTGGGTGGCTGGTCAACACAATCTGCAAATTGCTTCAATATGATCTATACCCTGCAAGCCCTCACAATCCCCACAAATCAGAAAACCCTGTACTTACTGAAATCTGATTTAACCCAGTGTAGTCAAAGTAGCTGCTGGAATCTCCTCAGTTTTCTCAGGAAGCCAGATGCTTATGATGTATACTTGTTTGCCCTAATGCCGTCATCACATTTGGCTTATATTTCAGCCTTCCTGGTCACTGACAAGAGAAGCATAATTTCAGACAGAGGAAAATAGCCTATCCCTTGTTCTCAACAAAGAGCTGGAACATTAGCTCTAAAGGAAACTCACTGGCAAAGGGGAGAAAATGCACACATATTTTACATTTCTTCTTTTGATGCTAAATTAATAGGGATATTTTATAAACGGACCATGCAACTTTTGCCACATGACAAATTTTATTCAACCCCACAGTTAATTAATGTTACAACACTATCAAATATTTAAAAGGAATAAATAAGAGAAGTAGGGAATGATGAACAAGCCTGCCTCCATATGGACTCAAAAATCATTTAGGAATGAAGACAAACTGGCTTCATTCCTGATTATGACAAAACTTCTGTTTCTCAAGGATTGGGCTTTGTCCCATCTGTAACTGAATTACAAATGGTTCTCTACCATTTTTGTGCTGCCTGTTCTGGGAAAGACCAACCATGTGTTTGTGTCAACAGTTAGAACCATCTTGCAACACTATCTCCATTTCAAAAATTTCTTTTATGACTAATTTTTGTTATGAACACTATGATGGCTTTGCAATCATGTCTCTGTTTCATGAGATCATTATTACTAACTTGTAAATCTTATGTTATCCACCCCTGAGGCCAACTATTTTGCCTACCAGATGCCCCATTTGTAATCCTGATACTACTAAGCTGTTAAATCTTCTCTTACTCATTTCCAAGGCTGGCCAGTTGAACACCACCTAAGTGGAGATAGTATGAGCATACAAATAAGAGAGTTTGCTTTAATTAATTGCTTTTTAAAATTAATTTGGCACTTATGGTTTAAGTAAGTGATCTTCCTCCTTCCATCTTTGGGATAAATGACACAACGTTCATCTCATACACAGACAATCCGGGATCATATTGCAGGAAGCATTTGAGAATCTGTGAAGTTGCTTAGAAGGTATATAAAAGAGTCATCTCACTCTGGTGGTTTTGGCATAAGTCACAATTCTGATGTAAATTCAGCTTTGTACTTTAGACTTCACCACACATTCACACACAAAAACGCACACACAGAATAAGTTAAGTTACCATTAATTTGTATCTGCATGTATATATTTACTAATACCGTAATTATGTCAAACATATGGTAATAGATAAAGATTTGGGGAAATATTAAACCACAAGATATTCATAGAATCTGAAGTCTAAAATTGCACTGCATATGTTTCTCACTTTTGAATCAACTCTTCAGATACAACCACTTCCCAGCATTTCTCTTCTTAGTTGGATTTGCTTATCAGACTAAATATAAAGTTCTCACCTGACTGATTCTCTGTGCAGACATTTCTGCCCAGTGCACAC